ACTACTACACACACACACACACACACACACACACACACACACACACACACACACACACACACACACACACGCATCCTCGCTTCCCGCCATCGCTGTGCCGCCTTATTTCAGATGAACATCAGCGTCATGAATCTGCTCATCGGTTTGGCTGTCGGTGACATTGAGAAGGTACACCACCACCACTGGACTGCCATTTGTCGCTTTTTGTGGTGTGCCCATATGTACCCGTGTGGGTCATGTGTTCTCTACGCTTGCGTTTCTCCAAGCATGCGTTTGTGTGCACTACGAATACCCCTCCCATCTCCTTGTTCTTCCTCGCTTCTGTCGGCGCTACGACCAGTCACTCACCCATGTCTCTCTTCCTTCTCCATGTCCGACCCTCAACACCCATGTTGCGTCCTTGCCGCCACAACAGATCAGCCAGAGCGCAAACGTGAACCGCCAGGCCATCAAGTCGAAGTATCTTCAGGCTGCAGAGCAGTGGCTTCCCCGCTCCCTTCGGCAAAACCTGCGATCGGTACGTGCGTTTGATCTGTGTGTGTGTGTGTGTGTCTGTGTGTCTGTGTGTCTGTGTGCCTGTGCCTGTGTGTGTGTCTGTCTGTCTGTCTGTCCGTCCGTCCGTCCGTCTGTGTGCCTGTGTGTATGTGCCTGTGTGTGTCTGTGTGTGTCTGTGTTTGCGATCCCGCTTGTCTGCAGGAACACTCGTTGCCACCGTTACTTCGTCTCATGTCTCGTTGCGCTTTGCTTCTTCCTTGTGCCACCGCCATGCAATGCCTCCCACCCAGTTTGAGACTGTGAAGCCCAACAAAGGCAAAGGCAAGGGCGGGCTGCTGAGCCTAGCTGCCTCTTTCCTTGATGAGAATGTTGGCTTTGACGACTCAAAGGCCGCCATGACCGAGGAGGGCGTTATCGAGGTATTTTTGGATGTGTGTACATGTGTGTGTGTGTGTGCACGTGTGTGTGAGTACACGTGTGTGTGTGTGTACACGTGTGTGTGTGTGTGTGTCACTGTGTTTACACTTGTGTGTGTGTGTGTGTGCGTTGCCAAGCACAGCATCTCCTCCGGCACGTGCACGCAATGTGAGAGACGCACACACTCAAGAGTCAACGGAATTTTGCACCTTTGCGTGTGTATGTGTGTGATTTGCGATCCGTCTCCAGGAGGTGCGCGAGCAGACAGATCTCCTTCGTGAAACCACCCGCGATGCCTTTGACGAAATCAAGGTGTGTGTGTGTGTGTGTGTGTGTTGTGTTTTGTCGTGTTTGTTTGTTGGTTTTGTTGGTCGCTGTTGTCGTCCGTGCATGGGAACGCGTTTACGCTCAGTGGCTTGCTTGTTTTGGTTCGCGTGCATTCTGTTGATGTTCATGATCCCCCAGTCGCCACCCATGTTGTCCACTCTCTTGCCCCGCCGCTCTCCTCCTGCCTTGTGCGTCTGTCTCATGCAAGCCGTCTAACCGTTTTTTTTTGTCCATGCGCACGTGACGAACCTATCATCGTCCTCTTTCCAGGAAGTACAAAGTCGCGCAGATGCCTCCACGCAAGCACTCAAGCTGCTTTCCAAACGCCTGCAGCAGCATGTTGACAACGCTTAGACACCCCCCACCCCCTCTCTCTCTGAAACGCGACCACAACAACCACAGCAACCGCAACCACGACATGTGTCGTTTCATTTCTCTGCTTCTGTTGTTTCAAATCATTGTCCCTGCAAGCGCGTTGGTTGTTGCCCCACCAACATTGTTTGCACGCTGCTTCGTGATCCGCGTTTGATTGTTTGATTGAGGTCGCGCTTCCTTTCGTTGTTGTGTTTGTGTTGTTTGTTGTGGCTGTGTGACATGCCATACTTATCGTTGTTGTTGTTGTGGTGACAGATGCAACGTTTGCCAATATTACCGTCAAGTGACATCATGTTCTCGAGGCAACACTTTATGCTCGCGTGCAAGCACCGTCGATCACATCATCCCCCGCATCGATCGCATGTCATCACCCACCACGTGGCTGCGTTTGCATGGGTTGGGCGCGGTGCAAAACAAACACAAACAAACAAAAACCAATGATTCGATGCGGTTTTATGGGCCGTTTTGCATGCAGGCAAGAAATCTTTCGCCTTCTTTCGTTCGCCTTCTGTTTCTTTGCTGCTTCTCCTGTGCTGTGCTCTTGCTTGCTTGCTTGTGTTGCTTTCTCCTCTTTCAACAGCAAAAGAAGCCCCCCCTGCCTGCTTCGCGTGTTTTGTTCGATCTTTGCAATCCTCTTCTCTTTCTTTGCCTCACCCACACGCACCTTAGTCACACATCACACATCAATCAAGCCAATATCGTCATCATCATCATCGAGCCATCCCACGTCATCCGCGCCGTCGACAACTTGCCGCTCATTTTGGCCTCACCACCACCACCTCTGCCACCACACGGACCACGCGCTACCCACTGCAGAGAGCCTGCAGGCACGCGCCCAAACGAACAGGGAAGCTGGTTGCTGCCGCTGCTGCTGCTTCAATATCCTTGTTACTTTTTGCCTTTGTCGCATTCCACGGGTGCCGTCATCGCCAACCACCTTGAACGCGCGACGTCCAAGAGGTTCGTGCTGTTCGTGAACACGCTTGTCAACGACCCCTGCCGATGACGCCATCCAAGGAGGTCAAATTCTCGGAATTCGCGTGCTGGGTGCAGGACGTTGGGGACAAAGGAAGCTGAATGACATCCTCTGCCTTGCATGCCGATGTGTCAAGATATAGACTGTTGTTCTGCATGTCGTGTGACGAGCTCCCTCACCACTCCACCCTGCACCATTTCCGCCCTTGCTTGCTTCCCTTCACCACAAACAACCATTTCAGGCCACCTCGACGAGCAACACACACCTGCTTTCCTTAGCCATACATCGCATCGCGCCTTCCTTCCATCAGCCTCACGCCTTCCAACCTTTTGCTTCCAACTCTCTGACACCCCTTGCCCCCCCCCTCCCTTGGTAAGTTGCATGGGCCATGCTGTCTGTCAACCGAGAACTACAACCCCACCAGATGAGCGCAACGTGTTGTTGCCCTCGTCGTCATCACACGCGCAGTGACGTGTGGCTGATGTTGCACTCATCTTTCTGCCAGATGGCGGGGGTGACCTTGTGTGCTACACCCCACCACTGCGTGCTTTTTGTGTGCGTTGGGGGAAGGTGGTGATGGTGGTGATGATGATGACATTGCTGCCTTTGTTTTGCCGTACATGTGTCGTCTGGCATCATCACCCCGTCTTTATTTTCCCCTACTTCCCCCCCCCCACACACACACACATCCACTCCCCTGTGCCACGAACAACACGCGCGTGTGACCACGTTTCACCCGCCATGCCTTCTTCTCCCCTCGCAAAACGAACACCAACCACAATACCACCACCAACAACAACTACAACCCTGCCATTTTCAGTTTCCTCCTCTTTCAATATGCCTCACCGCACACGCTCACAACAACATCATGAGCAGCAGCAACAGCAGCGAAACGATGATGATGATGAACGCACGAAGCTCACCTCTCACCTGCAACGTTTGCAACTCTACACTCTTGCCTGCAGGCAAGCCATTGTCAAGCACTGCATTTCTGGCGCCATCACGTCACAAGCCACAACAATGACAACGGCCCTCTCCAACTCGGCCGCCCAAGGCGTCATCCCCTCCATCTTCGATGACACCAGTGCGTCCCGGGCTTCAAACCCTCACGTGTCTCTCTCACAGATCATCCTCAAACCCACACGTCACATACATTGACTCGTGTCCCTTCTCGCGTTAACAGCTCCTGGCACCCTCTGTTTTTTTCTTGCCCTCTTGTGTTTCGCGCCCAAACCGATCTGTCGTGATACCCACATCATCACCCCCATCACTGATGGATGGGAATGCCCTCCACCCCGTAACACACACACACACACGCACACACACACACACACACACACACACACACACACACACACACACACACACACACACACACACACACACACACACACACACACACACACACACATGACGCGCCCGCTTCCCTCTCCCCTGTCACCCACACCTGTGCTCTTCGCCCCCCCCCCCCGCCTTCCCATTGCCCTTGGTCACCTTTAGATACACTGGCGGACGTCGTTACTTTTGGAGATGACGAGTGCAACCTCCTCTCAAGCTGGCTCGATGCCCCCTTCACCTTTGGCAGCAGCGACCAGTCACTGGCTTCCCCGGGCGCCCCCACATCTGCCACAACCACGACGCAGGCCCCAAGCACCAGCGTGGGCGCCACCCCCGCAACAACCGCGGCGGGCCTCGCCATGAACGGCGTGGGCAACGCCGGTAAGGAGCACCAGGGTCCAACCTCAAGCTCATCCATCTCCAGCATCGACCAGGATGTCGTGCTGCCTTCTCCAACGCAGGACAACTCAAGCATCTTCCAGTCCCTCCGCTCTCTGGCGCCAGACGTACAGGAGACGGTGTTTGGCGACACGTTTGGTGGCGCTTCTGCTAACGCTCTCGCCCACACGGCGCAGCAGCCGCTGCTTCAGGTGAGCGCACTGCTCTGTGCTCTTTTGTTCTTTCATCTCATGCATGATGAACTCGATGACACTTTTCCTACAGCCTTGTTCGTGACCCCGCGTGCAACAATGCCTTTGTTCCCTTTCCTCCTTTCATTCATCCAGCTCAACTTGCGTGACGGTTGCCCATCTGTCCATTGAACCGCACATCGTCTTCACATCATCTTTCTTTTTTCTTTTCCAATCTGATCTGCCAACGGCTCACCCCCTCCAACAAATCTCACTCCACTCACTCTACTCACCTGTTTGTGCTGCTGCTTGTGGCCGCGCAGTTTGCACCGCAGGGCATCCCCCAGCTGCCCGTCACCCAGCAAGCCCCGCTCATCACCACCACCGCCGCCTCCGCCGCCACCAAGAACCCATCCACCGCCAAAACGCGCGCACGCACCAACTCCTCAACAAAGCAAGGCCGCTCACCCACGTCACCAAACGCAAAGTGAGCACTGCTGGTGACCTGGAACGTGGTGGTTTGAAGTTGCACATATCCTTCATTTGCACACACGCATACATACGTGCATGCGATGGTCCACTCACGTATCACGTCACGCACATGCAAAACTTGCACGTATCTTGCATCTTGCCTGCACAGGGGCAAGCTGGATCCAACTGAGAAGCGCGAACGCAACAAGGTGTGTGTGTGTGGGGGGGGGGTGACAGAGTGGCTGCGTGCGTACTTGCACACAGTCGTGTGCTCTTGTAGTGTCTGGTGGAGCTGTAGCTTGCAAATGAATTCTCTTTTGTTCGATTACATGAAATGGGAAGGAGGAAGCTGCTTCAGTCATACCTCATCATGTCACCCACCCCTTCACTCACTCACTGACAACCAACCATGCCATGGCACCAACAAAGGCTGCTGCCGAGCGCTACAGGGCGAAAAAGCGAAAAGAGAATGAGGAAATGCGTCACCTTGTGCGCATTCTGAAGGAACAGGTACGGAACAGCCACTCGTGTCGCCACCACGCCATTCCACAATTGTGCTCCTGTATGACAACACCATGATGTTTCCTTCGTTTCAACAAACAAACACACGCCACACCAGCACACCAGCTGACAAGCCACCCACGCTGCATGTTTGCATATTTGGCATGGTGGCATGTGCACAGGTGACCATGCTGGAGCAGCGCGTCAATCAACTCGAAATGGAAAAGGCCGCCATCATTGCACAAGTCCAATTCTCAGGGTAAGCGTTGTGTGTGTGTGTGTGTGTGTGTGTGTGTGTGTGTGTGTGCGTGTGTGCGGGAGCAAATTTATGTGTACATCCCCAGCACTGACAGCCAACGCCTTTGCGCACTAGCACAGCACGACACAACACTCACACGCTGTTCGGCTCGCCACCTTTCGCTGTTGCAGCCTTCCCGGTGCCGCCGACATTGTCGCACAACACGTTGACAGTACGTTTCTTCCTCGGCCAATCATATGACTTGATCGTGCATCATGTGTCTTTTTGCACAAACGCATACACACACACATACACACATACACACATATAAACAAACACACACATACGCACAAGCTCTTCCTGTTTTATTCCCGAACCACGACACCCAATCTCACGCCAATTTTGCTTGCATGCAAACACCCATTCATGCACTGACAGTGTCGCGGGCAGGCACGTCCACGTCAGCTAGTCACACGACACCGAGCAAGCGAGCGCGCAAGGCAAAGGCAAAGCGCACCGCAGCAACTTCAGCTGCATCGACAGCAACACAACCCTCCGTCATGCCGCAACAACCACGCCAGCTTCCCGGTGCCCCCACTGCGTCACAGCTGTCAGCGAGTGCAGCCTTCATGCCACAGCACATGCTCATGCACATGGGCGTGCCCGTGCCGACAGCCCCACTGGACACAAGCGCTGGTGGTGGACAGGAGCCAGCCACCAAGCGGGCGCGCTCGCAGCAGCCGACACAGCAGACTAGTAGCACAACAGCCACGAGCACAACCACCGCAAACCTGAACGCAACGCAACAGCAGCAGGCAGCGGGCACCATCATGGCGCTGGCCCAGCGATTGCAACAGCTGCGCAACATGCCAGGGACATCAGCAGCGTCGACGGCAACGTCTACCGCAGCAGCACTCGCCGCACAGCAAGCACTCATGGCTTCGCCACAATTTGCTGGGACCAACATGCTCGCGTACGCACAGCCGCAGCCACAACAACAACAGGCGCAGGCATTCCTCCACCCCCAACAACAGCAGCAGGCGCAGCAGCAGGTGCAGCCGGGAAGGAGCAAGAAGGCCGCTCAAGGGAAATGATGTTGTAGGAGTTCGTTGTTCCGTGCATTCATAGCGATTCAAGACTTGTTGATGGCAGTGCTTGGTTTGATGTCGTGTGATGTGGTGTGAACTGAAGGTGCTTCACGGTGTGAATTGCTGCTGCTGTGCTGTTCTGATTTGACAACATCGAATTCGATTAGAAACTACATCCCGCGAACAGCATGTGTGGTCCACTCTATTGTTCCTGGCGCATGCTGGGTAGTTGATCTTCTCTTTTCCGTACACTGGTGCCTTCTCTTTCTCCATTTTGACTCTCTTGAAGCTGTTGTGTACATGTGTGTACATGTGTGTGTGTGGCGTGTGTGTATCGTGCGTGTGTGTGCATGTGTGTGTGTGGCGTGTGTGTATCGTGTGTGTGTGTGTGTGTGGCGTGTGTGTGTGTGTGTGTGGCGTGTGTGTGTGTGTTGATATCGAGGATTGGCGTGACAGCGTGTATGGCTTGGTGTCTTTTATTTCTTGCGCGTTGCGTTGGCCCTCACTCGTTGTTGCTCATGGCGTAACGACATAGTACAACCAGAGAATGACACTGTGCGTGTAACAAGAGAATCCACGTGTAAACTAATGTGAACGGAACGAAAGACAGACGAAAGTACAGCACCCACCACTACTGCCACGGTTACGAGCACTGCTTCATTCCAGGAGGTGGTGCTGGTGCGCCTCAAGACACGGCAGCGTCAGAAACGCATCCGAGCCAAACCCGTGCACCGATTTCACTGAAGGAGGGGGAGGGGAGAGGAGGTTGGGGTGCAAGGGGGTGATGAGCAAGGGCAGTGGTGCTGGGAAGAGCATTGGGGGCAAAACGCACACACATATACACACGCACGCACGTACACAGACACGCACTGAACACACGACACCGCCACAACACAGCAAAATAACAACACGCGACAGAGCAGCACAATACGAACCATCTAGGTCGCCGTCGAGGAATTCTGCGTAGAGGCGGGACATGGGCAGGCCGACGCCAAGACCGCGCAGGGATTTAGCGGACGTGAGCGCCTCCAACCGCTGCTGAGTCATACGCATTTCGTGTGGATGGAACGAAAACGCCCACAGATGGTCCTCCTTGTCACGCGGGATGCCGCCGCCTGGTTGGTTGGTGGTGTGTTTTGTGTGTGTTTTGTGTGTGTGTGTGTGTGTGTGTGTGTGTGTGTGTGTGTGTGTGTGTGTGCGTGTGTGTGTGTTGTGTGTGTGTGTGTGCGTGTGTGTGTGTGTTGTGTGTGTGTGCGTGTGTGTGTGTGCGTGTGATCGGGGTGAATGATGGTGGCTTGGCAGTGACAGAAAGCAAGAGCGGAGCAATGCGGCCACAACAGCACAACAGCAGCAAAGCCTCACCCTCATCGGAGACGCGGATGGTGAAGAAGGACGTAACGTGCGACATTGTGATGCGCACAGGCGGCAAACTTGGCGCTGAAGCGAGCAGGAGAAGCAGTGGTGTGAAGGTTAAAGGCGGTGGTTGTCGTCGTGTAGACTCAGTGCCGTGGTGATAACACAGCGAGCGCTTGTCGAGTCAAGTCGAAGGCGACCATGTGGGCTGCATGAGACGGAAGTAAAAAGCAGCACACACACACACACAAGACACACATGCCCATCTGTACCTTGTGCGTGTCTGCGTGCTGTTGCATCGAAAGCGTTCTTCAACACCTCAAGCAGACTGCAATCGATGATATGGAATTACAAAGCAGAGAAGCAGGTTGCGAGGCGCGGTGTGCATGGGCCAGGACCAATGTTGAGGACACGATACTGACGCATGGGAGCAATGCGAAAGAATTCACCGTTGGCACACAAACATACGAACACAAACGCACACATACGAAAAGAAAAGAAAGGCATGCTCAGGGCACAATCGTTGTCGCGCAGAGAGTTGGTGTTGCATTCGCACACACACACACGCATACACACGCATACACACACACACACACACACACACACACACACACACACACACAAGCTCACATGTACTCCAGGTGATGGCGGAACATGGCGATGTGGAAGTTAAAGTTTCCATCAAACACGACGGTGGGTGCACGGCCTGCACATGCACACGGGGTGAGTTTGCCAAAGTTTGGAAGTAAAACTGCACACACAAACACACACACACACACACACACACACACACACACACACACACACACACACACACACACACACCGTATTCAGCACTGCATCGCTGTGTGACTTTTGCGACACACGCACGCGCAACCTGGAAACCACAAAACAAGTACAAGGGAAAAGTTTGCAGCACCGTCAATGTTGATGTAGTGGAATCACACATCCGTGCGCATGCAAAGCAAGTTGTGTATGTGTGTGTGTGTGTGTGCGTGTGTGTGCGTGTGTGTTCATTGCTTCACCTCGTGTGGATTGACTTGCAGGTCGATGATGCCGGCGTGATTTGGCTTCTTCTCAACCAGTGCCTGCACAATACGAAACCAGTGCACATATCAGCCCTCTTCATTGTTCGTGTGTGTATACGTGTGTGTGTCTGTGCGCATGTGTGTGTGTGTGCATGTGTGTGTGTGTCTGTGTGTATGTGTGTGTACGTGTGTGTGCATGTGTGTGTGTGTGCGTGTGTGTGTGTGTCCGCACGTACGAGGTGGTGCTCGAGGAGGAGACGAATGGTGATGCGCGATCGAATCAAATCCCGCATGAACCTGAATCCGACCGGCCAGAACAACACAAAGTCATGATGATCAGAGGGAGGGGGCGGAGACAGCAGCAACATGTGTTTGTGGGCGATTGTACCAGACACAACACATGCACATGCACACACACGCACACACGCACATACACACACAGACAGACACTGACAACTACAACGGATTGCCATACGTGCTTGCGTGCTGCGCATCAATGAGATCGGCGTCCACGGATTCTGCGAGACCGCGAGCAACTACGCGCGCAACCTGAAGGTGCGGCTCAACAAGCTGGTGACATGGTGATGGTGGTGATGGTGGTTATGGTTGGTGGTGGTAGCGGCAAAGTGAGGGACGAGGAGCAATACACATGCTGACTTGACGCGCACGTACACACACACACACACATACACGCACACACACACGCACACGAACACGCACACACGAACACACATCAGCGTGCTTGTCTCACCGAGCGAAGAAAGTCCGTGTATTTGCTGGAAAAGTTGGGCTTGAGTACTTTCTGCACACATACGCATTCCGCATGAACGATACAGCGAAGCAGTGTCAGTGGTGGCTCAGCACGTGAATACTTTAACACATATGCATACACGCACGCATAAACACACAGACTGTTGTGTGTCCTAGTTTCCCTTCTGCAAGTGAAGCCAGCGGTGCCTGCAAGCAAGCTAGTTGTATTGCCCACCTTGCGCATCATGAAGAGGTTGTGAAATGCGTCGTAGTATTGGATGTGCTGTGAAGAGCAACAGCAACAACAACAAGGGGCAGTGGTGACAAGTTTGAGTGTGTGTGAGTGTGAGTGTGTGAGTGTGTCGTTGGGTGAGTGAATGTGAGTGTGAGTGTGTGAGTGTGTGAGTGTGTGAGTGTGTGAGTGAGTGGGCACGACACACTCGCTCTGTCGGGAAGGCAACCCGCACGGTCTCGGCAACACCACGTACCACGTGCTTGATGTAGGGATTGCTCCCAACAATGAACGGTAACTGCAGCGTGAGCAAGTTGAGAAGATGAGTGGGAGAACTACAACACACGGGCTGAAGTGCCGGATTGGAGAGTGCACAGACAGACGCATATGTTCGAACGTTCAAACGCACACACACACATACACACACACACACACACACACACACACACAACAGTACCTGTTGAAACTGCAGCAGCCTCTGTGCAATGCGAGGAAGGAGTTGCTGTTCCAATGACAAGAGAAGCAGGTACACCGACCAATGTGAGAGATGGTGCGATGTAAGTGAACACAAACAAAGCCGAGTTCACCCCAGATGGCCCACATGTGAAAGCCTGCCGCACAGTAAGCACCAGTGTCAAACTCACCGCACTCAGCAGCTTGGCACTCTCCTATTTGAGCAAGGCAGGGGGAGAACGGTATGTGTGCAATGTGAACACCGCGCAGGTTGGCGCGAGGCAAGGGAGCACGAAACGTCGTGTGCAGCAGGCAGCGCAAATGAAGCAGTGCACACACTAGCACAGCGGCAAGCGCAAGGTGGTGCTGGTGGTGGTGGTGGTGGTGATGGGGGTGGTGCTGGTGGTGGCGTGAGCATACGGCACATGACAGCAAATGGAAACGCACATGCGGTGGGTCCTCCTTTTCGGCGAGCTGCCACAAGTGGTTCACTGATAGTGCGTGGGTGGGCTGCGCCAGCAAGGCGAGATGATTGTGTGTGCGTGCGTGCGTGTGTTAGTGTGTGTGTGTGTTAGTGTGTGTGTGTGTGTATGTGTGTGTGTGTGTGTGCGTGTGCGTGTGTGTGTTGATCTCAATTCTGCGCACGCCACATGCCACACACACACACACACACACACACACACACACACACACACACACACACACACACACACAACACACCAGCATAAGATTGTTGTATATTACAGTGTCTATAGACTAAGACCTGGAAACCACAAAACAAGTACAAGGGAAAAGTTTGCAGCACCGTCAATGTTGATGTAGTGGAATCACACATCCGTGCGCATGCAAAGCAAGTTGTGTATGTGTGTGTGTGTGTGTGCGTGTGTGTGCGTGTGTGTTCAT